TCTGCTTCTGGCCCCGGCACCAGCCGAGTCTTTGAGGCTGGAGGTGTATTTCTGACGACCCTTCAGCCGAAGGTACTTATCTCGCGGGCCTGAGCCAGCGCCCCGGCTTCCGTTGGTGCCTGACCGCCATGGCGCCATTTGCTGGCCTGGACCACTGAAGAGATCATTTGCTTGTAGCGAATGGTAGTCTCCGTGGCGAGTTCGGCTGGCAGAGTGCTCGCCTCTTTGGTCGGGATGGCTGGCAGAGACGGCCTGAGCGCCGGGAAGTCTCTGATGGAGGAGTACGAGAATGAGAAAGCCGGCCACATGCGCTCGTATGCAGAAGGAAATAAGTCCGGCGCCCCAAAGCTTACTACTACCCACGCTTCGCCGAGAGTGTAAGTCCATTTCTGATGGCCTCCTTATGGCGAATTGACCAATTTTGCAGACGTTTGGCATCAATTTTCACCTGATTCTAGCATGCAGAATCGCTAGGCTGGTCGAGGTCGTCGGCAGAAAGGTGCTGGAGGCAGTGGGCAGAGCAACAAGGTGAGAATGTTTCCGAGGCGATGGAACAAGAGGGAGTAGCTCAAACTGTGACTGAGTAAGGATCCAAGAGCACACAACGGAGGCTACACAAAGTGGGCCTGAGTTGTTGGCCTCCAACCGAAACTCTACAACCCAGCCCAGTCGGAGTAGCGATGAACACTCAAAATTGTCACAAAATCCCCACAAGTTAGCTTGGTCCCAAGTCAATAAACACCATAGTAGCTTCAATAAACAGAGTCCCTGACATATTAAGTTGAAGTGTACAAAAGTGACTATGCCAAAAGAGTTAGGTTAAATACAAATTCAGATCATCAAAGCTTAGAGATGAGGCTGCCCTTGTGATGTGCACACTTGCTCGGCTGTACCTGGGACTGCAGCGCCGAGGCTGCAGAAGAGACGAGAATAGCCTATCATTTCGCCCGAACCACTGCACTAGACTTTCTGTCAGCTTGGCAATACAAATCTTACAGATGCACGCATACACACGAACCGGTATGAGGAGGCGCACAGACCGGCGATTCTGGCTAAGGGGCCTTGGCGGATGCGTCAATGCGCTCAAGAATGCGACAGGCCCTAGTGCCTGTGCTGAAGACAGCGCCACACGTGATCAGAAATCATGATATTGCTTCCATTCGCTTTTTGATCCGCCCCAATGCTTGCGTGTACGTGTGAGTGATTCTCCATTTTGTCTTCCATATTGTTTTAACTATTGTGCCTCCATAGCTCTGCACTACCATATGCCTCGTTCACAGAAAAGACAGAATGTTTGTACCCCAGTTAGGAGAAAAATTGCATTAAGTAGGCTCGTATTTCTTGCATTTCAGCTTACACTGGTGTCCATCTTGTTGCATCGATAATTTCATCCTCCTAGGGCTTTTTAGGGAAGAACCCCGTTGACCCTTAACCAGCCCCGAATGCTGAGACTAAAAATTCACGATTTTAAGGCATGCCATTTAAGGTGAGACCCCAAACAGCATGTACCGTTGCACAAAATGTTTGGAAATGAGGAAAATCGAATATGCAAAAGTAAAAGACAACTTGAGTGGTAACGTGAAAATGTTGATGTACTGAAAATGCAGTAGAAGAAGGCTGCTGCAATGGGATCAAGTAAAATGATGGAAAATGGAAATCGTCACTCAAGGACTATTTTGCCTCTATCATATGCTAACACGCTGGGCTTATTCAATGTGATGTATGAAATGAAAGTTATTTTTAGATAAGTATCTTGGATAAAAAAATGTGACATTCTGAGGGAAAATGAGTGAGGAACTGACCTGACAGTCGATCTCACCAAAAGACAACGGTGGATCCCCCGTGGCCAGCTGTTGAAACAATCTGGTTGCCACAGTTCTTGAGGCAATCGCCTTCCCTTCCGGCCAGAGTGTGCTAAACTTATGTTGAATGACGTTAAAATGATATCGTTTAAGTGGCAGACAAAAATTCGCAAAGTTTTCACTGGATATGAAGCGAAATGTTTCATATTAAGTCAAAAGGAAGCTATCGAAGAGGAATCGGTCTTCTGACAGTTTCTCATCATCAAAACACTTTTACCTGAAATGGAAGAGAGTTAATTAACACTTCGAGAAAGGAGGAGATCCTGTGCTGTTAAAATCTAGAAAGTTTTGGCTTTTTTGCAGAACTGAAAAGGTATGCTGCTCGAAGCGGAATTTGCTTAATACCATAATCCAGATGCAAAATTTAATAAGCCTATTAAAAGAAATGGATTTGCACCAATACATTATTAGTTGTATAAATGAGCTCAACTCTGGATTTGAGAATAAGTACTTATCATATTTGGCTATAGATAATAGCTTCCTATTGGATCGGATATAAAGGTAGTCCAGAAACTCTGCTCATATACGAAGGATATAAAGAAACAGGTATGAAGAGTAAAATTTTTTCGATGAATATCCTAAAATAAAATTGTTGAGTGACTTTTATTTCGTACGAGAGAGCATGTTAACGAAATTTGAAGGTCAATCTCATCAGAAGACGACGGCTGATTCCAGTTTGACCTCAAAACAACGATCAGATTGACGCAGAACACGAGGCAGTTGTCAACGTTGTCGCCAATATGGAGACGCCAATGGATAGTTGAGTTGAGTGGAGTCTTTCACGAACGGAGAACTGTACGACTTGTAATTTCGCGGATGTAGAAGAGGTAAAGAAGTGGCGTTCGAGATTGTGGCGAGGCGTGTGAAGGTGCACACATTTGTCATCCAGGAGGATAGGTGCTAGGAGAGGCTCCAGGCTGTAGAGCTGAGCGTCGTGACTTTCCACATGTTGTTAGTGAAACATACCGTTGATAGGGGAAAGTAGTGAACGAAGGAGGCGCAAAAATGGCGTGATGAAGGCGGCTTGTGTAGTCCATGATGAAATAATGGAATAATGATTTGATGTTTAGGCTACTATTAAGGGTTCAACTGCCGGGCTCACTGGTGTGGAGATTTCGGTACGTGTACTCAGGCTTTGCGTCATTTAATACAGTTTTCTGGTCCACTCTGCATTGAAATAAACTTCTTTGAAACTAAGAAATAAATACGGGAATTTCATTTATCATAGCAGATTACAGGCCTTTGATTAAAAGGAAATAGTATAACTGGGCTTAATGAATTTCCTCAGATAAAATTGTTATGAAATAGTGGTTTTGAGCCACATAGAACAAGAGTTAGACTTAAATGGTAAACTCATTGAGGGTTCTAACCATATATTCGCATTCGTTTAACAAGAGTTTTCCTCCATTTAAATCAATCAGATATTCTGCCCGGATCATGCAGTCCCAGACATTATTTTCCTTGGATCATTTAACTATGGTGTCCCTATAATACAGTTTTGCTCTGTTGTAATTATCATATCCTGATTTACATGCATAACGGTGCAAAGATACGCAAGCATTCAAGAATAAAAGTACTGAAATAAAAATGAAACTGATTAGCAAAATCATTCTAAAGTGGTTGTTTGACCTTGTTTTCGCAACTTGGTCATATTGGCAGGAAGACTTAGAGGAAAGCAACTAGTCAGGAGTCCATTGTATGCTCATCTAGCTGTTGCCTGGTCTTCTCCGTGTTCGTTTAGGCAATATGCAAAGTTTTAGCTGATCCTGCCTTCTTCAAGTTTCCTGTTCATTAGATTTCTCTCGGTCAGTATATCGATGGCCTGGCGGATCTTGCGTTTTCTCGTATTTTCACCACATGCAGCCAAACTTCCTGTCGATTTCCAGTAGATTTCGTGACCCGTTCGTGCAATGGGTTCCTCTATTTCGGGTCTTTCCGTATCCGTTCTGCCTCCAGGATATCCTTTTCTTGCTCCAATATCTCCAGCAATGCGCTTAACGCCTTCTCGCCTGAAATGTTTGTGTACGTGGATTGTACATCGAAACTCACCAACAGTTCCGACCCCACCAACTCAATGTTCTGGATCTTTTGAGAAAATTCATATAAATTATTGACAGTATTAGAGATATGTTCAATATGTTCCGCTATTTTGGATCTTTCCGTATCAATGTTCCTGCAGAGTCTTTGATGTTCCTTGATTCGTAGGCCTAATTTTCTTCCTGTTTCACCGATATACTTATGCTCACAGTTGCCGCATTTGATGCGATAAACTCCCGAGTAATCAAGTTTGTCAGTCTTCTCGTGTTGCGTCGGCAGACTGGTGAAAAGTGTTTTATTTTCCTGTGTTATCAGCTTGATATTCCATTTCCTTAGTAACGGTCGCAATTGTTGGCTCAGTTCTGATGAGGGCAGGCAAATCCACTTTTGGTTGTCATCCTGATTACTGATCTGATTTTCAAAAAATCCAAGTTGAAATCGGCCCTTTAGAACCTCTACATTTTTTCCTATAATTTCTCTGAGGTATACGTTACTAAGGCAAATCCGTGTCAGTTTGTCGAACTCCTCGTCCCAGAACTCATTTTCCGTTAGTTGTATACTTCGGATGATCAAATTCCTCAGTATTGCGATCTTCAGTCTGTAGTTATGATGGGACTGAAAATTAAGCATTATTCCAGCACATTAATTCTTTCTGTATAGTCTCCTCATGAGTGTCCCTTTGGAGCGCATGGCTTCAATATCCAGAAGGGACAGTCGTCCATCCTTCTCCACCTCCATTGTAAATTTAATTCTTTCATCAAGTTGGTTAATAAAATTGAGGAATTCATTTAGATTTTTCTTACCATGTGACCAAATTGCAATAATAGTCAACCAAATATCGCATGAGCGCTCTTAGTTGCAGTGGTGACTTCTCAAATTCTCTTTCCAATTTGTCCATGTAAACATTTGTTAAAAGAGGTGAGAGTGTAGATCCTATCGTTAATCCAAATATTTGCTCGCAGATACTGCCGTTAAATGTAAAATATGTGTTCCTTACTGCCAGGTTGATCAGTCGTGTTAACGACTCTTTCCGTATTCGTTCTGCCTCCAGGATGTCCTCTTCTCGCTCCAATATCTCCAGCAAATCGCTTACTGCCTTCTCACTTGAGATGTTTGTGTACATGGATTGTAGATCAAAACTCACCAACAGTTCTGATCCCACCAACCCAATTTTCTGGATCCTTTT